GATAAAAGAAAAGAAAGACACACAGGCAGACAGAGAACAGAAAGATACAGAAGAAAATATCAACGGACAGGGAGACAGACAGAGTGATGGACAGGTGGACGGACAGAGACAGACAGATGAAAAGACAGACAGATAGACAGACAGACAGACAGAGAGACAGACAGAATGACAGAGAGACAGAATGAAAGACAGACAGACAGACAGACAGACAGACAGAATGACAGACAGAATGACAGAGAGACATAATTAAAGACAGAATGACAGACAGACAGACAGACAGACAGAATGACAGACAGAATGACAGAGAGACATAATTAAAGACAGAATGACAGACAGACAGACAGAATGATAGACAGACAGAATGAAAGACAGACAGAATGAAAGACAGACAGAATGACAGACAGACAGACAGACAGACAGACAGACAGACAGAATGAAAGACAGAATGACAGACAGACAGACAGAATGGCAGACAGACAGACAGAATGGCAGACAGACAGACAGACAGACAAACAGAATGACAGAATGACAGATAGACAGAATGAAAGACAGAATGACAGACAGACAGACAGACAGACAGAATGGCAGACAGACAGACAGACAGAATGGCAGACAGACAGACAGACAGACAGAATGGCAGACAGACAGACAGACGGACAGAATGGCAGACAGACAGAATGATAGACAAACAGACAGACAGACAGACAGACAGAATGGCAGACAGACAGACAGACAGAATGGCAGACAGACAGACAGACAGACAGAATGGCAGACAGACAGAATGAAAGAGACAGACAGACAGAATGAAAGACAGAATGACAGACAGACAGACAGACAGAATGGCAGACAGACAGAATGAAAGACAGAATGACAGACAGACAGACAGAATGGCAGACAGACAGAATGAGAGACAGACAGACAGACAGAATGAAAGACAGAATGACAGACAGACAGACAGAATGACAGACAGACAAAATGAAAGACAGAATGACACACTGACAGACAGAAGACAGACAGACAGACAGACAGAATGAAAGACAGAATGACAGACAGAATGACAGACAGACAGAATGGCAGACAGACAGACTGACAGACAGAATGACACACTGACAGACAGAATGACAGACAGACAGACAGACAGACTGACAGACAGAATGACAGACTGACAGACAGAATGGCAGACTGACAGACAGACAGAATGGCAGACAGAAAGACAGACAGACAGAATGACAGACTGACAGACAGACAGACAAACAAAATGAAAGACAGAATGACAGACAGACAGACAGACAGACAGACAGACAGAGGCAGGGACGAAGAGATGGACAGAGACAGACAGACAGTAGATTAAAAAAAAATAGAGACCAGCAGAAACAGACATTTGTGGCATTGAAACAAACACTTTATCTATTTTCGTTGTTTAGATATAACGAAGATATTTTGGGAGTTGGGACGTCATTCTCCACCCCAGGTAGTCTAAATCACACAAAACTGGTGTCATTTGTTTGTGCTGGACTTGTGCTGGTTTGTGCCGTTAAAATAAACACTGTATCTATTTTTATTGTTTTTATTGTTTGATATTGTCTTATCAAAATATTTCAGAAGTCGTGACGTCACTCTCCACCCCATTATTTCCTCTAAATCGCACAAAACTGGTGTCATTCGTTTGTGCTTGATTTGTGCTGGTTTGTGCCATTGAAATGAACATCAGATATTTATAAATATAATTTTTTTTGTTGTTGTTTTTAATTTTCTGTTTTTCTTTATTTTTTATTTTGTTTTGTTTTAGTTTAGTTTTTTATTTTAGGTTTTTTTTTTTTTTTTTTTTTTTTTTTTTTTTTTTTTTTTTTTTAGTTTTTTTATTTTTGTTTTAGGTAAATTTT